TTTTCAAAAAGGAACTGTCTGAAATTAGTGTCCAAATATATCAATATGAAAACTTTGTGTAGCATAAAAAAAAATCAGAATTGGTTGATTTTAAGTTACATATTCATCATGTAAATAGTGCTAGCTCTGTAAGTATGATTTTTTTAAAAAAATTACTTGATGTATTTGCAAGACTATAATTTATAAAATAATTCATAGAAAATTATATCAATTTTATAATTTTGCTTCTTCTTTCAAATGACACTTATACTCAGAATGTAATCAGTTATAGCAGATATTATTGTACAAAGTCTCTAAACCTCACATAGTGGCATAACAATTTCATGAAGATTCATCTGAATCTTGTAAATATCGAATTGGAAATACAAGTACATTGAGTATCAATAATCAGAAATTGCATTCATCCTTGAATAACTACATTTTAAATTTTCACAGCTGAATGGCCAATGTCAATGAAATTACCACTGAAATTTCCCTCAAGTTTTCAGATCAATCATGCATCATATATATATATATATATCTCCAAGGTATACACAAATTGATATGGTTGATCTGCAAAATGTAACTATTCTGTTTCCCAAATAGAGTTGGATTGAGCCAAGACTTTTTATTTTTTCTGAACACAATGTTCAATTTTTTCTGAACATAGTCCATGCTCAATGTTTTTCTCAACAGTCAATGTTCAATGTTTTTCTGAACACAAGCAATGTTCAATGTTTTCTGAACACAGGCAATAGTCAATGTTTTTCTGAACACATGAATGTCCATTTTTTCTGAATACAGGCAATGCTCAATTTTTTTCTGAATGCAATGTTCAATTTTTTCTGAATGCAGTCAATGTTCAATGTTTTCTGAATGCAGTCAAATTGTTCAATGTTTTTTTCTTTCTGAAAGCAATGTTGAATGGTACAGAATCAACATTAAAAATACCAACTACATGTACTTCTCTACTAATACATGTACTTCAGTTTCACCACAACTATATAAATTGACTTTTGTGCAAGGCATTTCCATCTCCAAGAAACAATTCCTTTAGATAATGACAACCCTCCTACACACTGAATCCTGGAGATCTGTCAGACTTCACTGATCTAGAGAAACTGTCACTATTATGATTGGCCAAACCATTTGTCCCATAAGGCAATGCACTGAATTACATTGGTGCCACATGTGGCAGAATGTGTTGTTGTTCAATAAATGTAGAGAACTGAATTAAAAAGAATCAATAAGCTACAAGTGGATAGGTCAAAACAGTTATAAAAAATCACTTTCTCTCAATGAAGTCTTTCCATGGGTTGCTCAATACAGAACTACTTAACACTGTCAAAACAGCTTGAGCATTAAATTCACAAATCCTTTACACAACACAACATCAGAAAATGTTGTAGATTACACCACTTTATACATATAAAATCTGCAATATCTCAGTTAATATTAGACAGTAATGTATCCCTTAACCTACAGTAGGGTCAAGAGTGATGTAAGTACTCTAAAATAATGTGAATATTTCAGAGTTCCAAAATAACTCATTGTATTCTAAACAGTGCAGTGAGAAATTGGAAAATATCAATTTCCAAAGCTCTGGGTAAATGCCAATGCTTCTAAAACAAAAGTACATGATAAGTATGAGTGATATGGCCCTGTCATTACATCCTGTTGTTTGCTGCTTCTTTGGAGGAATTTTAGTGGGAAAGAGCTGCTGGTAATGAAAAGGCAATTAGCTCAATGTAGGAAAAGAGAAAATGGAGATATCTGTTACCACCATACAGTCAAGTTCCATTTAACCAATGTCTGTTAATCCAGCTGCTGCTTGACTTTGATATTATGAATGGGGCAATTTAATTTTCAGTGTGGTTGTGTGTGTGTGTGTGTGTCTGTGTTTGTGTGTCTGTTGTCATAACAATAATTGCTTCAGGGGTAACATTTTTTTTTTTGACATTTCATCCCCGTACATTATTTAAAAAGGAATTTGTCATCATTTGATTAATTCTAGTTACTATACCTCCCAGCCTAAAGAATAGTGAAACAAATAAGATCTTGGGGTCTTTTTTTCTTACATTTGTGGCACCAGAGTGATTCTGCCTTCCATGCATACATCAGAAATTTAAAAAAAAGGGTCAATAGTTGATAGAGATGCAAATGTTCTGGCCTGATGACAGAGATTACTACAGAAAATGTGAATGTTCGGAGGGATTTAATTCTAAGTGAAAAGAAGAGGAATTTTACTTACCACAAATACAAATGTCAATATATTAATTATTAGTGAGCAGAAAAGCCAACAAAAGACAGATTATGAGATAATGCCTGTCAAGTTGATCTCCCAACTAGAACTGTCCAAAACAAAGTGGATACCTCAAAAGATACAGTACTCATATTAGATGTCAACATAAGTGGACTATGATATAACAATGCACTGTTAAGATGGTTTATCAATATGGACAAAGAATTTGTTTCTGTATCAATAAATAAATTTTAGTGCATTTTATATCAAGTTTGCAGCTTCCTTTCATGGGGCCTATAAATTTTCTCTAACCCAAACCAATGGTTGTACATGCAAGTTTTAAACGGCTAACAATGTCACCAATAAAAAAAAAATTGCCAGATGGTATATTTTGCTGCCAATAAGGGAATAAAATGCAATTTGTGATATTGGAGAAGCCCTGTGCAATTGCTGAATAAACTTTTTACACATCATTTTTTTTACTTTTAGGAAGAAAAAAACTTTTGTCTAAGAGAAAATTACCTATAAAACTCCACAAGCCATGCCATGATTGTCTTGTATCATTCATGTGTGATCTCTTCCCCAAAATAATAATAAACTTTTTACATTTTTTTTTCATACTTTTACAAAACATGTTTTTCATGTGCAAGAAAAATACATGAATTTGAAATTAAAGGAGTAATACCACCAACATGTTATATCTTAATTCCTGTTATAGAAGAGCATACTATAGCAGGGTCATTGTATTTAAAAATGTAATGTCTCATTTTCTTCCATTGTTAAAACAGGCCTACAAGTTGTGCAAAAATTCATCAGATATGGTGTATGTATATACCTATCATATGTACATGGACATACATAAGGTATGGTATATAACAATATGTAAGCTATTGAATCCAATATAACTGAATTTTGTAAGATGTTTTTGCAACATATAACTGAATGAGCCTTGCAGGGTTAGCATGATGACACCTAGCCAATTAAGCTGATGAATGTGTTTTGGAAATGTGTTAATTTTAGGGCCTCAGCTAACATATAGTGCTTTAATATTTATAGCTTGAACATGATTGATTTTTAATGAGGGTCAATTTGATCAGGCAGATTGGCCAAGGCAAGTTGAATTCAATTCTAAGGATCCGAAAATGCCAAGTGTGAAAATACTGCAAAGTAAACTTTAATAGTTGTTGAAATATTGTCATTATATAAACCATTCCAGAAATTGGTTTACTAATAATGGCAGACTGTTGCTATTTCTATAGTCACTTCATGCCAGAAGTGTGTTTCTTTCATTTTCTGAAATTTAGTCAAATTCAGTCAAGTGGTTTGTTTTAAAAAGCATTGTTCAAAGGATTTTCCACATGTAGCAATTTGCAATCTGATATCAAATCAAATAATTGTATAAATTTGAAACCCCTTAATATGAAGATGCTTCCTGGCCAATTTATTCAAATTCTGCTTCTGAGTAGAATTCTTTTAAATTTTCATAAGTCAATAAAATATTTTTATACTTTTATTAATGGTGGGCATACTTGATAGCAGTCTGGCATCATCTGTGCAACAATAAGTCCAGGTAAACTTGATATCACTCACCTGGTTTACATATCCATAACGTTACTGATGACCATTTTACCAAGCTGTATTATGTAGAATTATAAGAACACAACCTATGTAAAATATCTCCTAATTTTATATCATATTGAGTTTACATGCTTTTTATATCTTGAAAAACATTCTTCTTAAATATAACGGCATAATTAATATGTATAGTTTTATGCTCATAATCGAAATAATCATAAATCTTGATCATATAAACCCATTTACTAAGTTTCATAGAAGCTGGACCAGTCTATAGATTTAAGGAATAACAAGCTCAGCCAATCAAATGCAAGGTACTCCATTGGTATCTATAGATCTTATTTATTACCCAACCTGACAACAATTATATTATAAGCTTAAATAAGGTGATGGAATTTGGTCTGCAGTGTGGTAACATTCTCAGCTAATCAGATACAAGATTAAATCAGTAGTAAATCTTGCTCAAAATAACAGTGATCAAAAGTCTTGCTAATACAAATTATTGTTCTGTTAGAATTTGATCAGAAATATATATATATATATATATATATATATATATATATATATATATATATATATATATATATATATATATATATAAACCTGAGTGTTCACCAAGATTCTATAAAAACTACAGTCTCTAGATTTGTAAATAAATAAACAGCCAATCAGATGAATGATTGATCTTGCTAACAAAAATCTCTGAACATCTCTACAATGTTAGCATATTCACCAAATCTGAGTTAAAATCAGGTCTGAAATACAAATCACTCAAGTGAGCTCAGTCAATCATATGCATGATCACTTCATTAATATGCACAGATCTTGCTCATAATTAAACACATTATTTATCATGACAATATAAGCCTTTTTATAAAGTTTGATAAAAATATGATCAGAAAAAGGTTGCTAAAGTGTTGAGAAGCTCACACAACCAAAAGCAGAATCAGCTCATGAATGTGTGAGTGTGATTTAAATTTTTAATTTAGCTTTAACAATTTCTGTCATATTACCACAATGTCTACAGTGTGGCAGTTTATAGTGATGTCTAGCGCTGGAACATCATGCCTGCTGCAGACATATAGCATGATGTCCCACCCAGTCACATTATCCTGACACCAGGTCAACCAGTCCTAACACTAACCTCTTAATGCTGAGCGGCAAGTTAGGCAGCTTATAGTACCATTTTTGTAAGACTTTGAAATGACTCAACTGGGGATCAAATCCATGACCTTCCACATCCGAAGCAGATGCTCTAACCACTAGGCCACCTGAGCAGTCATCTCATGAATGTACATTGTTTATACTTGTATTCATCCATGATCTCAGCCTACATGTATTTACCAAGTTTGAGTAAAAGTGGATCTGTAGTACAAAGCTATTGAGATGCTAGACCACCTCATAAATATGCATTGATTCCACTAAATTCATGTGAGATCTTGTTCATATAAGCCTATATGTAAAGTTTGATCAAAGTCAGTTTAAAAACATGGCTTCCAGACTGGTAACAGCCAACCAAATGCAAGATCATCTCATTCATATACACAGATATTACACCGTATCAAAACTTTCCAAGATTTTGATCATATAAGCCCATTTTTCAAGTTTGATATTTACCAGGTCAGAGTGGCAGGATATTTTAAGTTTGGTCAGATTATCACTTTGTTTGAAAAAGAGGTTGCTGAAAAGATTTGCTATTTTTAGTAAGTTGCATGCATAAATAATTGTAAATTGTGGCAATATGGGAAAAATAACTGACACTTGGTGGTAAATGGGAATCAACATTAGAAAAGTCCATAGGATTAACATTAATGCAACTCTTCTGGGTGGACAGAAAATTAACAATAATTAACCAATAAAGCATTACTGACTAGTAGAGTACTACAAACATGGCACCACTGTATACTGTGGTTATTTCAGACCACACCATGATACAAACCACTGTATAATTATATTAGGGACCACAGCAGCCTCAGGTGCTATTTTGATTTTAAAAATTATGTCTGTTGATATCTCAAAATATGTTTTGCTCATGTATAGCAAAATAACATATTCACCACATTAAATGTATTTGGAAATAAATATCTTGCAAAAAAAACCAACAGAATATCCCATCTCAAAAAAAAAAATTTACATATTTCCTTAACCTGAAATTAACTAATAGTAGATAACTTTGCTATGTGCATGATAATACATGTAGTTGTATGCCATATACTCTAAAATTTATAATTGAAGAAGGATAATTAAGCTTACCCTATCTAGACACCCATGAAAGACACTGCACTGACATTTGACAGTTTGTTGATCAAAATAGGAAGTGTTTACAATGAAGCCTACTTAGCCACACTATTGATAAAATTAATAGGTTAACTCTGAGTGAGATGTCAACACCCAGGTAAGATATTTATCACAGAGTCAGTAAACATCCAGTAAATATAAAACACTTACTCACAAACAAGAAAATAATTAGTTTACTTTAGTAATTTAGTAATAAAGCAGAAAACATTATTGCTCTCCTGAAAATCTAAGGAAGACAAGCAGTCTTAGAAAGGAGTATATGTATTCTAAATATTATGGCCTTTTGATCTTTCTTGTCACTCACTCACTCACTCACACACACACACACACACACACACACACACACACACACACACACACACACATGCATGCAATCATGCACACATATGCATGCATATATTCATGCATGCACACACACACATACATACACATACTGATAGATATTTAACTGACAAAAAAGCATTAACAACAAATAGCACTAACAACAAATACAATTCATTGGGATATATAAAATCACTAATGAGTGGACTAGAAGTCAAATGGAGAATTAACACTTGTCCTTATCATCCTTAGGTAGTGATTTTGAGGGTCATTTACCCATAGCCTGATCCCCACAAATTAGTAATTTACCCATAGCATAATCCCCACAAATTAGTCATTTACCCATAGCATAATCCCCAAGCTTGGTTTAGGTTCACTCTTTGGTTATTACCCCATGTATTTTGCTCACATGGCTTCAGATGAGTCTAGCAGAAACTATATATTGTAATTAATTATAACTGACAGAAGGACCTATATCACATTATGATAAATGATATATGTAAAAATATTTAATAAATTGCCAACAGAATAAAAAATGTCAACCTAATTTTGAGTATAAGTATCAAAGTTGACTTTGTGATCATCTGTTTAAATTAGAAAATATAATTCTGAATGTACACTGATCATTACTTGTAAAAGGTTTTTTCTGTACCTTGTGTTGTAAAGTCCAGACTGCATGGTGTAATTGTTTGAAAGCCTTGTGTAGAACTGTCCCAATGGGTACTTCTGCATCTTGAAGTTTTTTTGTACCTTGTAAAATAACCCTGATGTGTCCTGCATGTTGTGTGGTATGTGTGTGTCATTATGATTTTTAACCTAGCTTTAACAATTTTTCAGTCATATCTCTACGATGTCTGCAGTGTGGTAGTTTATAGTGATGTCTAATACTTGGGCATCATGCATATTCCACACAGTCACATTATTCTGAAACCAGGCCAACCAGTCCTAATACTAACCTGTTAATGCTGAGCGCCAAGTCAGGAAGCTATTAGTACCATTTTTGTAAGACTTTGGTATGACTTGACTGGGGCATGTTGTCATTATTTATGTACCTTGCATGGAACAGCCCTGATGTCTCCTGCATGCAAGTAAGGCACTTTGCCACAGCACTAAATAACCTACTTGTGATGCAAGTAATGCACTTTGCCACAGCACTAAATAACCTACTTGTGATGCAAGTAAGGCACTTTGCCACAGCACTAAATAACCTGCTTGTGATGCAAGTAGGCACTTTGCCACAGCACTAAATAACCTGCTTGTGATGCAAGTAGGCACTTTGCCATAGAACTAAATAACCTACTTGTGATGCAAGTAAGGCACTTTGCCACAGCATTAAATAACCTACTTGTGATGCAAGTATGGCACTTTGCCACAGCACTAAATAACCTATTTGTGATGCAAGTAAGACACTTTGCCACAGCACTAAATAACCTACTTGTGATGCAAGTATGGCACTTTGCCACAGCACTAAATAACCTATTTGTGATGCAAGTAAGACACTTTGCCACAGCACTAAATAACCTACTTGTGATGCTGTGCTATATAAGATTAAACCAAAATACTTTCTGCATCTGTAATCAAAATGAAGAAAATGATTGGGTTTATAATCAGCATTTAATATACAACAGTCATATGTGGAATACATATAGACTTTTCATACTGTGTACCAGTTATGTGTACCTATCCATGGTCTAGACATAAACAGTTATGTATACCATACACAGTTATGTATACCAAACCATGTTCTACACATAAATATTCAAGACACAGTTATATATACCAAACCATGGTCTACACATAAATATTTAAGACACAGTTACTATATAGTCCAAACCATGTTCTACACATAAATATCCAAGATGCATTGTTATGTGTATCTGTCCATATTTTAAATATAAATATTCAAGACACTGTTATGTGTACCTATACATAAATATTCAAGACACACTGTTATGTGTACCTATCTACATTCTATACATAAATATTCAAGACACATGGTTAGAGATGTTTGGACTATGTACATCTACAGCAGCCAAGAGCTCTATGGAATCGATCAGCTACATAGAACTTTTGGCCAGCAAATAGTTTGTATTTAAGAGTCAATTTTCCTAATTCAACATGCATCTTTTACAAAGTACATAATTATACTATTTCTATGTATTTTGTTCTACATTTATAAGTTTACCTGTCAGGTATAAATCGTCCATTGTGATTGCTGAATTTCCATACACTTTCAAGCCCTTCACTAACATACATAAAACAATAAAGCTCTGGTATTTTATAATTATTATAAGCAAGCACTGATGTTATCCAGTGCACCTAGATGCAGTCTCTGTCTTCTGTATAATTCTTTTCAGATATATATGTATTTACCTTGCCAAAAATGTACCTGTACAGGTACATTAATTTTGGAGTGATAACTGAATCTACCTATGCTTCAGACACACTATTGATTGTTCTCCCACACCTCTGAACTTTACCATTTACAATAGTCTAGCTATAACTTAATGTCTAGCAGTATTGTTTGTGGTTTGTGTGTGAGTCACAGGTAGCTTGAGGGGTTGATTAAAACTTTTAAGTTTGAGAGTGGGGATGACTGTGTGTGTGTGTGTGTGTGTATGTGTGAACTTTATTTTAAAATGAACCCTATTATATCCATTATATTAGTTGAAAAACTAAATCAGCCATCCCCCTCTTAAATCTCTGCTCACTAAAGCTTCATTCCTTCACAAAAGATTTTAAAACTGACATAGAATAAAGCTTGATCTACAAAAGATGATGAAAAAAATTCTGAACAATGGTACATTAGAGTAAAAAAAAGGTGGAGTTCAAAAAGGTACTTAAATTGTTTGCCTTATGATTTAGCATGTAAATAAAATGGGATGTTTCCTAGTGCATGATGCATTATGTACTCAATGACCAACCATTTAATTTTCTGGGTGCTGCCTTTGATTTTCTTTCTGACCAAAGCAATGTTTATTCTTTATCCTCAAGATAAATCAGGGTTTCACAAGGTAATGGATATAATTACATTTTCCCACAAATCAGGGTTTCACAAGGTAATGGATATAATTACATTTTTTCACAAATCAGGGTTTCACAAGGTAATGGATATAATTACATTTTCCCACAAATCAGGGTTTCACAAGGTAATGAATATAATTACATTTTCCACAAATCAGAATAAGACCTTTTTTCCAAAAATGTGTAGGGGACTGAAATATGTTTATAAAAAGAAAATTCCATGACCTACTTTCCCCCCTGCAAATAAAATGGTTGGTTCCTCATAGGCAAAGTCCAAAAGCCTGTGACAAGATCACTATTGTACACATTCAACTGCTTGTTGCCAAGACTTACATAACTTGAGAGCTGGCAAAGGAACTAGTCTCAGCAGAAGGTCTTTTAAAGAGTTGTTATTCTAATATGGTGTGTACCTATAAAGGTCAAAAGTTAATGTTTTCAATTTAGGAAAAGTGAGTTTCATCAATAAAACCTAAACATCACTGGGTGTAAATTATGCTTTTTTTTTTAATCACAAGAGTTTCCCAAAAACTAAAGAACCTAAAGTGGTCAATCATATTTGTTTTCCTGCAAATTAAATAGTACAGTATTTGCTTTTCATGTGCTTAAGCCAACAAGAACCAGTTAAATAGTACAGTATA